CTGGCAGCTGTGGTTACCAGAACTTTACCGTCAAAAATACGGTATCAACGTTTTTGGTTTTACAGACTTAACGTAAAATTTACAGTATTAAACCGTAATTCATTTTCTGATATAATGCTAATTTACCAACCTATTAAAGTATTAATATCTGTTTTTTACCATTGTAATACACTGACAACCATCAACCATCACAGCAGTGATGAGAGTCACATGATAAATCAAAGCTCATCACAAGCAATCTTCATCAAGAAAGTTAATACTATTATAATGAAGCTGCACAGTGTTATTCGCACAAACATTAAACACCATCATGGTAACACACATGAAATTTTAAAAATACAATAAACATTAATTTAACAACATTAAATGTAACATAAAACCCTAATGTACATAACTGATTAGAAAAGAACTAAGAAAGCTAAGAAGAAACATAGTTATTTCAACAAAAATAAATTAAATGTGAAGTGTCACGCAGGGAATTGTGGGAATGTCAATTTACGTTTTTTCACTGTAAATTATACAATGAGTTGTTCTTTTCACTTTCAAAAACTGTAAATTTAACGGTATTTTACAGTAAAATTACATTAAATGTACCGTTAGATCTATCACAGTTATTTACCGTATATAGTAAGGAAACTTTCTGTTAACCAATTAACAGTTTTGCACTGTAGCATTTTGACAGTCTTTTACTGTTAAAATCACGATCATTTTTTACAGTGTATGTATTTATTAATCGTTGTTAAAATAAAATAAAAATACAGTTCATTTTAGCTCATTTTCGTTCATTAATTGTATGTACAAGTAAACTATTCTCTGCCACCCTATCAGTCATATCACCAACACCCCTGTATGGATGTAACTACATAATGAAAACCCTAATAAATGAGTATTTCCCTGCCCACTCACTTGCGGAAATACCAGTGACCATCGGAGAGAAATATCAGACATCCTTATCAATGGAATGAGAGAAGCAGGGAATCACATTCAAATGTCATCAGACTGATTCTAAATAGCCTACATACACTTGTTCCTGGCCTAAGGGAAAAAGGGATTCTCTCAATTGTCAGTGATAGTCAAATCAGGAATGAGCTCACATTAGAGTTCGGTCTTTATATTACATCGGCTGCAGAAAAATATTTACAGTAGGAAGTGTTTTTGACTATGGATATCCATTTAAATAAAGCAAATAATGTTTATTATCAGATTATCCTGACTACATAGTGGTGGTAACCAAAAGAGATAAAAAAAAAAAAGATAGGAAAGAAAAAAAATTCATGATGTTTTTTCTCTTTAATTTTGTGAATGTAATGAAATGATCAAAATGACATTTACGTAATCTTACTTCAGACAGAGATACCAGTGTTACTAAACTAAACTGTCACAGTCTAACAAAAACCTGGAACATGCACTGCAGTTCAGTGAATAAAAGCCAACAAGTGACGCTTGTCTGTTAGATAACTCCACTTTCAGCCTAAATACCACAAAGCAATAATGAGCCCCTTGTACAAACTCAAAAAGTATGCAGCATATCCCTAATTAGAGATGACAGCATTGGTTGATTGGTCAATGTGAAGCAGCTCATTGTGAGGTGTCCATGATGTGCTTTCACTGGAATCTGTTGGATCAGTTATTAATTATGCACTGATGATTATTTTGATTCTCTATGAATTACATTAAGAAATCTCTACCTTATAGTGTTTGCAGGAAAAGTCTTAAGAACAATCTAAGTTTCGTTATCATAAAAAAATCATTTTAACCTAAAAAATCAGGATAACCTATTTTTTTTTCTTCAGATTATTTTATCAAAAAAAAAACATCCAGTTAGTATTTGAATCACTGCCCTGATATCTCAGTAATGTTGGTTTGGCAACTCATTACAATGACACACGAAAAGCAGACCGCTCCACTGTGGGGCTCCCCGAAATGTAGGCCCTCTGACTAATAGGCTGAGACCTGCTCTGTTAACTCCCCTGAAAATGAACAAGCATGAGAGATCACAGATCTACAATCAATCCCGTTCTCTTTACCAGGAAATGACACCCACTCCCACGCTCATTTGGATGATACCATTACATTGCCAATGTGATGATGTCACAGACATATTTCAAAAGATTAGATATCCTATGAGGAAAATCCTAAGCATTCGTACTCCAGTGGAATTCCGTCTGACGGAAGAGAAAAACCGATGACTGTATTGTTCATCAGACAGAGGACTTTAGAATCACATCTGTATAAACAGTTCAGAAAAACATTCCAGACTCTTTATTTTAAATGAAATGGCTCACTATCATTATTCAGTTTGAATAGATGACTCACTAAAATAAATTGCACATCAAGAACATATAACAGAAAACACCTTTTTACATGAGTGAAAATACTAAGAATCATTCTTGATGACTAGTAAACTCCTAATCACACTGTAATTACTGTTGGTTTCTGTGACTTCATTCTCTACTATTTAAAAAATAATAAGAAAACAATTCCCAAAAATAACCTTCTTCTTCATTCAGGCTCCATTTTGCTCTTCGCTGGCCTCAGTCAAAGCAATATAATAAACAAAAATACATAGTAAAGTGCACTCCAACTATTCTATTTATATTCTCTTACTGTTTAACTTGCATTAATACATTAATTGTTTTGATACCATTTTTACAAAGTATTATTGTTCTTACAGAACTTGACTTAGTATCAAGGCATACCCTACCATTACATTTTTTAAATATTTTTTTTAAAGCAAGACTCCATTAGTGTCAGTGAAGACTTACACTGTAGCCATACATATATTTATACAGTAGTCAACATTTGAAGTGGATCAAAAAAGTTAATCAAAGTTGTCATTAGACAAGAACGGGTATTGTTCAAAATTCATGTATAACTTTGATGAAAGGTTTTGATTCACTTCAAATGTTGACTACTGTGTATATATATATATATATATATATAGATGCTGCTCTTTTGAACTCTTGAAAATCTTGATCATAATCATTAAGCAACACAACTGTTTTCAACACTGATAACAATAAGAAATTATTCTCGAGCAGCAAATCATCATATTAGAATGATTTCTGAAGGATCATGTGACACTGAAGACTGTTGTAATGGTGCTGAAAATTCAGTTTTGTCATCACAGGAATAAATTACATTTTAAAATATATTAAAATAGAAAACATTTATTTTCAATTTTAATAATTTTTGATCAAATAAATGCAGCTTTGCATTAAAAAAATCTTACTGACCCTAAATTGTGTCGATTAGTAGTTTACTGCTTTGCTGAGAAAGTGTCTGCAACAAACATGAATGTGAATGTATTGTAACAGCTTACATGACATTACTGTACTTCCCTCTAGTGGACAGATCAGCATTCAATCACAAAATACCATAAATGGTGAGGTGTGTAATTTACATACTTTTCTTATACCAAAGTTGACAATTTTGAAGAGAATTTCATTATTCAAACAATATCTGAAGTCAAACAATATACATTTACAAAGTAGTCTAATTAAAATACATGACAGCATTTCAAAATATATTACTTTAATAAGAAATTTTGTTTTAAATAAAGTTAAATAAAGTTAACAAAACAATGAAGACAAACTTTGCGTTTTCTAAAGCTAACTGCTTGGAAAAAGTTGTATTTTTAAAAGAATCTTACCCAGCACAGCAGGATACAACCAATAAATCAAACATACAATTTTAATAGAACTAGATAGAGCTTCACATAAAAGATAAAGTGATTACGTCTAAAGTTATTTCTTGTTTTAACTACACAAAATGTGTGTCTATCTATAAAACCAGTGCTTAAACCTTAACCCATAAAGCATTTCTTTGTGTAATTCCAAGTTACCTTTAAGATCATGTAATATGATCAACACACTGCATATAATCTGTACATATTCATAAATATGACATTTATCAGAATAGTCCTATACACCACACCCAACTACAAAATTCAACTTAAAATGGCTTATTAGGGGACAAGGACCAAAGGTGCAGGGCATAGTTTTGTTTTAAAAGAAACTATAGTTTTTAAGTATACAGATAAAATCTTCATGTACAAATTTGCCCTGTTCGAATTTCACAGTGCATAACCAAGCAAGGAAAAGATAGACATCTGTCTCTGCTTTTGATTATTGATCCATTACATTACAGTAGTTTTCCTTTAAAGGGGTCATGACATGGATGTTTTTTTAAATTATTTTAATATGTTCCTTGAGGTTCACTTATAACGTTAATAAAGTGTTTTGCACAAAAAAAAAAATACAAATATATATATATATATATATATATATGTGGAAAAACTATTATTTTAAACCTTCATTCTGACCCTCCTTCTGAAATGACAAGTTTTTAAGGGGCGGCTCCTTTAAGGCTCGTCAATAAACGGCCACTGTTTTGATTGGTTAGGAAACAATATCAATGCCCACTGCACGCGTGTTTTGAAAAAAATATTCATTACACTGTGCCACGCCCTCGTCTACAAAAGAAAATGTTCCAAACAAAAATATAACCCTCTGACAGTACCCAGGACACATTCAAATAAACCATCCCCTTGTTTCTGATGCCGAGATCCTTCTGAAATCTGTACAGAGACGCAAATGAGCTGTTTACTGGACGCCTCAGAGCGAACCTTCTTTCACTCTTCCATTTGTCCTGTTGTCAACAGACACAAGCACGTAGAGTAGGCCTATGTCAGAAAGTGAACGGGCATCTGTATTCTGTATCCAGTGTAGACAGCATCAGTGATTATAATGGGTTCTATTTGCTTTGATGCGACATGACGCACACATCCAGTGTAGGCAAATGTCAGCCGTTAAGCGACTGAATGCCAGTAGGCGGGGGCCTATGGTGCGGTGATGTATAACTATTCATCAATCTCTTGCTCTGTAGGCAGTCATATGCAAATATATTTGCCCACGTGACGTCGCAGGTCACCCAATATCAGAACAAGACATTTTTTGAGCTTGATTTGTTTATAACGAGGAGGACATTTCAAGCTATGAAACTTTTTTAGGATGTTTTAATGGTACAAAAACCTCTGTCAAAATATCAATGCAAATTTGATTTCTTATGTCATGATCCCTTTAATTCCAAACCCACATGAAGATATTATTGCAAAAACGGTAAAAACCCTTAGAAGCTTATGAAAAAAAAAACATTACAACATAAAACAAATAACCAAAAAAAAAAAAAAAAAAAAAAAAAATAGCTCCACATCTTGATTCCATCAAAATATACTTGCCGGGCGGGTTAGATTCCTGCAGTTTTATGCACTTCTTGCAGTCAGCAGAAGTGTGTGCCTAATCCATACATAAATCACCATCCCATGGTCTGCTGGTTCAGTCTTAACCCAAAGACTGTCATAAAGTACTTGATGCACTTGGAAAAGTTTGTTTATTTATCAAAATGGTGTTGATACTAGCATGTATCATCTGTAAAACAAACAAAAAAAGAAATAATACAGAGAGAGCAAAGAAAACTAAGTTATTTGATCATATCGGTTTTAATACAAACTCACATGAAAAGATGTTATTGAGAAGATAATGGGATACACTTACCATGATACCACCACTTAGTTTTCTTTGGATTCTTATTACATGTCTTTACATAAAATGAATTATCTGGAGGACGTCGCTGAAACATCCACAACAAAAACAGCTCATTAGACAACCATAATGATACTTATACCTTTCTCAATTTGGTTAACTAAAAGGTTAAGTTTACCTTTTCTTTGCAGCTTGACAGCATGCTAATAATGCTTAAACAAACAGATTGCACAGACAGAGCTGGTGACCAGTCTTCCGTTAAAATAGATAAACAGATGTGACCGTTGCTATAGACGTGTGGATGGATGGGTATATTTTCTCCGGTGAACATTACCTATAGAAAAAATATTTATTAGTAACAAGCATTTAGCTTTGATACAAAAACACAAAAAAACTAAACAAAAACACCACCATATATAAGGAGATTCACAATTTACCTGAGGTGAATCAAAAGGATATCGACCACTGAATTTGAACAGGAGTTGAAACTTCTCTCCTTCATAAAGAGTACCTGGAGCACCATCCATATCTATAAACCACCTGGACAAATACAAGAATAAAATCATTGATTCATTGCTTTGATTGAAATAAATATAAATTAACCCATTCAATAAAGAAATTAACTGGTTTAAATGGTTAGTTCACCCAGAAATGAAAATTCTGTCATCATTAACTCACCCTCATGTCATTGTTTTAAACTCATAAAACACAAATTAATATTGTTTTAATGAAACCTGTATGTCCCTCCATTGAAAGTCCTTTCCACCAAAACTTTGATTATTCAAAAAGATCATAAAAACACATGCAACAATAAATAAGGTTTGGTCATGCAAGTATTTGATGTGCTCATTGTATGTGTGCAGGTCAATGTGTATGTGAATGAAAGCCTGAATTAAATCTGTTTACAAAGCAATCGTTTCTCTTCAGAAAGGTTCTCTTTATGAACAAATTTGGTAACAAGGACTTTCAAAGGAGGTTTTATTAAAAATATTTTCATTTATTTTTCGAAAAGATGTCTGATGCCTTATGGGTTTGGAACGACATGAGGGTGAGAAAAACTACAGCATTTAAATTGTGTGAACTGTCCATTTAAAGTCGAAAGTGAAACAAAATAATTGACAGATTATTTCTTACATATGGTTCTGTACATCGGAGTAAATCGGAAAATTGAAAAAATGATATAGGTTTTTGAGACGTAGCCATTGCTCAAAACAAGTGGAGGACGATAAACGTGAGCTTGCAGGGGTGGGGTTTAGGTGGACTAAATGATTGGAGAATCTGACAAACGTCACCAGTCTGTTGTTTTCACCGGAAGATCCAGTTATGACATTAGGATTAAACATTACAAGGTCAAATTAAACAAGAAACATGCACAGATTAATTGTTCACAATAAGATCTTTAGCATGCATTTAGAAAATAGATTCATTTTCATGTCGACAACTTTAAGGAAAGGTTGCAAACTGTCAAAATATAATCCAACTGAACTGACTGCTTGATCTTGCACATTTACACATCTCACAACTTACTCAGTGATTGTGTTCTGTACACTTCTCTCATTTAGTGTCATTCCAGGAGGTGGATCACTTTGTAATGCCATCAACTCCTTTTGTAATCGCTTCTGGGAAGTGAAAATAACTTGGGTTAAGGCAAAACTGAAAGTAAAAACAGGACAGCCTTCCTAAACTATTAACATTCTAAACTATTAATACATCATTTTTAATTCAGTGTGCGTGGTTTTAAACCATTCACCTAAATTAAATTATAATGTCTGAAAAATACAACTAGCAAGCACACCGCTAACAACGAGCTAGTCAAACAAATGATTTGCAGTGCTATAGAAACGAGCGATTAAGCACCACTGCAATTGTTTACAGCTCCGGAAGAACTCTGCTACATAATAATTCCCGTTTCACATCACGTTTATAAGTATCGTCTTTCACCGCTACAACTGTGATGTGACAGTACAGAGTTTTTTTGGGCTGTCAGACTGACTGAAGGTTAGCTTACAAAGTAAACAAATGTGCGTACGAATGAAACAGCTGACTGTCCTGTGTTCAGATCACCACAGGCAGGGACACAGTACGAAACCCGGTACGTGTCACAGCTAAATGCGAAAAATGGTTTACATTGTTATTGTTATTTGAAAATGCTTGTGGATGTAGGGAGATATTCACCTGCATAGACGCCATGATGGAAAGCCCCTGTAGAGAGGCGATTGGCCGAATGACGTCTAATCAGGTTTTCACGGAACCGCAATGCAACAACATTCAGTTTGTTTGAAACAGGGGGAGGCACTACAGGTGAACATGCCAAAAATCCTCTTATTTTACAGGTTAAAATAGCGTAAAATACTCTTTTTAATAAGAAACTACAAAACATTTACTGTAACGTGATGTGCAAACTACGCAAAGTATGCATCATTTAAATGGAGAGAAAGAAGCGTGTTGCTATACTTTACTCCAGCGAATATTACTCGGTGATGTTATTTTTGAATGTCCGTTTAATATGTACATACCTTGAATTAATCGAACATTCCTTCAGTTATAGCGCAGGAAAAAAGACTGTTTGGGTGTATATGGGGTAACGTGGTGGAACCTGCCATTAAATATTTTCAGCTAGCCATTTTTGCTAAATGTAAACTGGAAGAAAAGCTAAATGTTAAAAGGTAACACAAAAATGTCACACTATTATTGTGACTAATAATATATTATTGTAAATAATATTTATATATATACAATTTAATATCATTTAAATATGTAATATGGGCCTATTAATTAATTGTGAATTGGATATTTTATTAAAGTTTGATAACCTCCCTTTGCTATTATAGTAAACCTATCTAGACGTATCCCTTGGTGTTATTAATTTTAAAAAATATTTGTAGATGCAGTCACCCAAGGAGAACAGAAAAACAATGTTTGATTCAAACCCTTATTTTGGAGAATTCACTGTTTGAAAATATAAAGGTTTAAGTGCACAATCTCCACAAATTAGAATTAAATGAATGAACAAAATATTTTCAAGAACAACTGAATTTATTCATTAAACTGATGAATGACTACTGCGGACAATTACAAGACTTCTGTCTGATGAATCCACATGCAGAAAAGTTATGACAAATCTATTTCAACTGAATTCTAGGTATGCACCTATGAAGTTGGTTCGCAACCCTCCATAAAACCAAAAGAAGAACAACTACTGAATTTTGAACTTGTTAACACAAATAGATACATTGTAAAACTACATGTCTGTCTGGTTGACTCTAGTCTAGACATGAAAACATTTAATAGGAATTCATCACTCCAGGCATCTTTATTTTGCAATACAGAAATTATGTAAGTTAATACTGGGTCAAAGCTTAAAACAATAAAGTAAAATAAAATAACTTTATTTGTAAAGCAATTACAGTTTAAATAGAACAAGGGACCAAAACTGTTATACCTCTCATTCAGCACAGCATACCTCTGTTTGCAAACCTAAAAGTATTTAAAAACAATAAAATAAACCAATAATAATTTGCTTTTCATATTTATTCTGCAGCCAGATGTGTATATGAGTGTTTCTTTTTTGTGTTTAACAATCTAAGAAGTTGGCAGCCATCAGAAGCTCCAGCGCTATCTCTGGGGCAATAGGAAATTCTGGGATTTCTGTTGAACTATTAGTATAACGGACTTTGTATGTAAAGTACATGCACACTTTAGAAAGAACGTGAGATGGGATCTCTCGAAAGTTGACTTCATTCGTTTCATTCTCAGCAAACTGGCCTGAAAAACAGAGATGCAATGTTACTATCACCTTAAAGCTTCAATGAGATAAAACACAAATAAAGAACCAATACAATACACACTTACAACATGTAAAATGTCACATTTAAAGGGATAGTTCGGCCAAAAATGATATTTAAACCATGCATTACTCACCCTCAAGCCGTTCGAGATGCATATGTCAATCTTGTTTCAGACGAACACATTTTCAGTTATTTTAGAAAATGTCTTAGACCCTTCAGTGGATATAATGTGAAGCAATGGGGTCCACCTCCTTCAAGTCCCAAAATGTGCATATATCCTTCACAGAAGTAATCCATCCGGCTCCAGGGGGATAAACGAAGGCCTTATGAGGGTAATCCGTGCGGTTTTGTCGTAAAAATATACATATTTAAAACTTTATAAATGAAAATATCTGACTTCCGGCAACGATCGACGCACGTTCACGGGTGATGTTTTGCTCTGCTCTCTGGCTGCGCGGGCGCGTTCGGTCTACGTCACGACGCTACGTCCTACCTCGTACGCCGACTTCCATCACCCGTGGACGCGCCTCGATCGTTGCCGGAAGTCAGATATTTTCATTTATAAAGTTTTAAATATGTATATTTTTACGAAAAAAACGCACGGATTACCCTCATAAGGCCTTCGTTTATCCCCCTGGAGCCGGATGGATTACTTCTGTGAAGGATATATGCACATTTTGGGACTTGAAAGAGGTGGACCCCATTGCTTCACATTATATCCACTGAAGGGTCTAAGACATTTTCTAAAATAACTGAAAATGTGTTCGTCTGAAACAAGATTGACAAATGCATCTCGAACGGCTTGAGGGTGAGTAATGCATGGTTTAAATATCATTTTTGGCCGAACTATCCCTTTAAAGAATATGTGGAATAATTACTGTTGGACAAAATTCAGGAAGATCCTATTTTTAGATGCAATTAAAATTTTATTCATTCCCTTTGGTAACTAATACTCACCAGGACCACTAAGCATAGCTTTGATTGTTCCAGATGTCAGAGCATGTTCTCTCTTCACAATAAACTCATGGCCATCAGAGGAGATTAATTTCACATACATGGCATCTGGCCCTTCACAGCCACCATAGGTCTTTTCTTCTCCATCTAAAATGTATTAATTTGATCATACACTCGAACTACCAACATAACATACACAGAAATACATCATACAGATATCCCTTAATCTAAGTAATGTATGGTTTATTCTCCCAATAACACAAAACGACTAAGTCTAGTAGTTAATTCATTTGTTTAAAAAAAAAACTTAAAAAACCTTACCCATTTTTACTGCCTTCCCTTCTCTCTCTCTCTCTCTCTCTCTCTGAAATATTAAGAGAAAATAACAGTTACTTACCACGTATAATGTAGCGGTAGTAACAACGCACATAATGTTCATGAAAAAGCCTGGTGAAACCAAACAAGAACCTATATATTATGTGATCTGATTTATATTGAAAAAACGGATATTTTTATTAATATTAGGCATAAGAATAAAACCGATCGACGAGTCCTGATGCAGTCTGGGTCATGCATGTTAGTTAGAACAGTAAATCATAGGCAATGAGTTTCCTTCCCAGTTAGCTCAAGCAGCACCATGTACAAATCGTGTTTTTCCAAAAAATATTATAGTAGACAGAATTCGCACGCATCAAGATTAAATAATCATAATTAAATACAAGATATATTGTCTCACCTCACTAAGATTGAGCTGGTCAGGGCAGTTTTTTTTTCTGTTTTCTCTCCGATGAGCTTCTGGCAACTGCTTCTTCTGTTGTCAGTGCGGACAACAGGAAACAATTGTCAGGCAGAGAATCCATGCACTTCCGTTACAGATTTTACAAACTTAGAGTCCTCATCAATATGCTTTAATAATTAATATCACATCAGAATTGCATGCTTTGGTTGAATTGACATTAAATTGTGATGTGTAAGATATATACTTCTTCACATCTGTTAAGTTTTTGTTCAGTTCATCATCGATCACGAATCTTTCACTCGCACGTGTATGCTCGCGCATCAAATTGCTTCCGGTGCGTTGTCATTTTGCTATCTGAGGAAGTGGGAAAAGTCCACATGATAAAATGTATCAGATTGGGATTTTGCATGGGTTGCGGCGTCTCTCAAAAAACCAAGAACAGATCATCAGAAAAATCCAAGTCGGTGTTCGTCCGGTATCACACAGCAGTAGGAGTTTTTGCCACACTCGTGCTGTAGTTTTAAAGGGGCAGGATAATTTTCTGCATGTGAACCCAAGGTCATTTTTAAAAGCCCATGCAAAAAAGGTACATAGTAGATTGTGTTTAAATATGCCGTTTGCTTGCAGTTGACCTCTCTGTAAATGGTACGATTGTTTCTGTACATTGTTTATACCTGGACAGCTTTTATCATTGATTTGGCTTAGCACAGAAGAACATGGATCCTGTACATAAACATAACATGTTCTATTTAAATATTGCTTTATTTTGTTTTGTTTCATAACTTTTATTATAATAAAGTGTTCCTGAAAATCTGTTACAGTTGCGACATCTCAAATGAGCTATAATTCAAATACAAATTCATTTATTTTAATGTAAATAATAATAATAAAAAAATGGTGTTACTTTTAATCTTATATCTAAAAAATGTTAATGTCTACACTTAATTGAGAAGCGGTTACAGTATCTCAGTGTTCAAAAGTGTTACACTTGAAGGGTTAGTCCACCCAAAAATAAAAATTCGGTCATCATTTGCTCATCCTTATGCCGTTCCAAACCCGCAAGGCTTTACTTCATCTTGGAAATGCAAATAAAGATGTTTTAATGAAATCTGAGATATTTCTGTCTCTCCACTGACAGTCCCCGCATAACTATCACATTGACGCTTCAAAAAGTTACACGTGAATAAAAGCCTAAATTGAATCTGTTCATCATATAAAGCTATAGAGTCTCTTCAGAAAATTTGGACTATTAGTTTTACAATCTCTTTATGAACTTTTTTTTCAGGTGAACTAACCGTTTAATTGCTTTGTTTGTTTGTACTTTAGGTTCAACCATACTGTGCTGTTAGATGGTATACATCCTCACCAGTTCAGTCTGAAGATGGAGAATTAATCTACACAGGCAGTCTGGGAAAAGCTGTCCTCGGTAAATTGCCTGCCATATATAGCATAATTTATACTTGTAAAACACAACTTGAACTACCAAACTGATATAGTTATCAGTTGTTTCCATGATTTTTTTATATTAGCTTCTAAAACCTAACCTAATGATCTAAATCTGCTCCTTTGTTGTAGGTGTGAAGTTTTTCTCCTACTCCAGCAGTATGTTCAGTCTCTGTGTGATGCCATATGTCCTCATGAAAACAGGCATTGGTGTGAACAACTTGGTACTGCAAGTGGCTTTCTGTGGCTTTATAGGTTTCTTCACATTTCTGACTCCTGTTCTGCTCCACTTGATCACCAAAGGCTATGTAGTACGCCTGTACCACAACAAGGAGACCGACATGTACACAGCCATCACTTACAGTGCCCTTCTAGTGGAGAAACGGACTGTTTTCCATCAGAGGGATGTCATTATCCCTGCTGTGAGCAGAATGTTCACTAGTTTTTACGCCAAGAAACATTCGATGCTGGTCAACCCAATGCTTTTTGCTCTGCCCAACGACTACAACCACCTCATGGGTTACGACCGGCCCTTTTCCTTTGATACAGATGACTTGAACAAACCAGATAAAAGTTAACTTGTCCACCAACATTGGATCGATTTAGCTTGTGAAACCAAGATGTCTACATTTCAATGAACTGTTGTTGTGTATTAAATATTAGCAGGAGTGATATGTCATCCAGTATATTTGTGATGTAGAAACTTGTATAAAAGTGTAAATAAATGGATATTTACCATCTGCACATCTCAATTACCTTCCTGCATCATGATTTTATCTTGTGGCCCAACTTCTGTTTTCTTCCTTGTTCTCACGACCCATTGCCATTTATAGGGGGAACAACCAGTGACCTATCTATCGAAAGAGGATGTTTTACAGAAGTAGTTATTAGTGTGACATTCTATAATAATTTTGATAATTAAAACAAAAACTGTTGATATTATTTCAGACGGAGAGATATCTGCCTACTTGTTTTATTCAGGAAAACAACAGTTATGGTGTTCTTGTATGCTTCAGTTTTTATTTTTTGTATTATAGCTTTGCCTTGTGTGTCCTCTGCCTCTGCAGAAAAAAGATTAGCCTGCTCCTCAGAGTATTGTAGCTTTTGGTACAGCTACGAAGGTGAGTTGAATATTTTTCTCTTAAACAATGTGCTGTTATATGATGCTAAATGATTCTGTTTGGTCAGTTTAAAACCTGTATTAATATATGACTTTTTTAAACTCAATGACTCATGGTTTAAATCGTTATCAGAAAAAGAGAAGACAGAAACATTTCAGATGTTTACATAAAGAAAAGTTTTAAACAACTAATTTGGTCATTTAGCTTATCATATGGAATATGTCTCATTGGAAACATGGAGCCCCTAAAGGGAAATAATATAGGAAATACAGTATATATGAGATGGGAGGATAAATTATATTTAGTTTCAATGGTTTTGCATTCTCTCACTAAAGTAGTGCATTCTCGCATGAATCATTGTGTTCAATAGCAAAAGCATTGGGTCACACTTTTTATTAGGTGTCTTTAACCACTATGTACTTGCATCACACAAAAATGTACTTACTGTGTTTATGTTGTATTGCTATTGAGGTGTGATGTGGGTAAGGATAGGGACTGGTTTGGTGGTATGTAGGTTTAATAATTAATTAAAATGTTAGAACATAATAGTTAAGGATACTGAACATAAAGTGGGACCACATTGAGATTATTTACAACACAAAAGTTTTGCGAGCAAATGCAAAGTTCCTTGGGGGAATGCAAACATTTTGCGAGAGAATGCAAAATCATTGATATTTTTCCTCCCATCTCATTTCTCCCCCATCACCATGTCCCTTTAGGGGCACCGTATTAGAGCAACCCATAGTGAAGTATTTTGCTCAAGGATACAATGGCTAAAGTTCATGGATCACCTCTTGTGGAGTTTAAACCTGCAGCACTTTGGTGACCTGCTCAGATATCAAACCTCTAGCAACACTACCCATGTGTTCTAAGTTTTGCAAACTGAAAGAAGGTCTTTTACCCTTTATATTAATATTTTTGAGATGTCATTATTCTGTCATTAACCAACGCTCAGTCTCTCTTTTACCAGGGCCGTTATATTACCTGTCACTGACCACTTACCCCTGCTCTCCAAAAGTGGCCTGGAACATTATAACTTATACAGTAATCCCAAGTAAGTTTATTAAAATGCTATTCTGGATCATTACATTATGTATAAAATATGTGTGTCATGCAACTTGGAATAATGTTTGAGCATGCTAAATTTTTTGGCTTTTTAAATTTGAAATGAACTTTATTGTCATTCAGTGTTCACAGTTGCTCGTGCTGGATATCATGTTCGAGGTTTCTTCAAAGGTCAGCTATTGTTTGAGTACACACAACCAGATATTCCTTGTGAGGATGCTAAAATCTGTTACATCATCAAAGGAGGTACATGTTAAAATAGGTTTACTGCACTGCACTTTATCTTTCAGTAGTGCAGTTGTGGATATTGATTTGAGTGCTTCCTTGTTTCAGAAACACTGCAGGAAACCTGTCCATTTTTTGTAAAAAAAAGCAAATTACTTACTCCTCAGGTGAGATTTCATGACTTATGTAAATGTAATGTAATTCTATTATAAATGAGATTTTATGAGTTGTTCCTGTAGCTGAACTGGTATAGCATGGCAACACCAAGGTCATGTGTTCGATTCTAAGTGAACATGTAAAATAAAAATAAATGTAAAAATTACATGAAAATATGATCCTTTGAAAGCTATGAAAAAAAGTTTGATTTATTTTGTTTTCCTTCCCAGGGAGAATATCAGATTTGGATGGATCTGAACATTGTTGATGATGTTGAAAGAAGGCTGACAATACGTTTCAACTTCACTATAGAAATAAAAGCTACTGGTAGTAAGAATGGAATTTTTTGAGGAGGGTTGTAGAACAAGAAAATCCTATTGTTAAACGTGCAGTATAACAGCAAAGATAAGATCAATTTACTACCGTTCAAAGGTTTTGGGTTAGTATGACTTTTTCTTTGGAAGGAATTAATACTTTTATTCAGAAAAAAACACATCCAGTAAGCATGTTACAAAGATTTCAGAAAAATTATGACTGTAACAGACAGCAAAATATTTATATAATATTATGTACTATTTTATTTTCCATTTGTTATGTGAGAAATGTTATATTTTCTATTCGATTTGTTTTTAATAATCTCAAGTAACTTTCTTAGTTTGGACTGTTGAGGAGAGTCATGAAATGGTTTTAGTATGTTTGTGAAGCTGAAACTGTGAAAGTGTAAATAAATGCCATTTAAATGACATACCCTCTGAATTCACTACTTTCTGTTTTCCAGCACTTCTTTGTCACATAATTACAAGTACTTACAGAGAGAGAGAGAGAGAGAGAACTGATTCATGGTTCAATACAAAAGAGAAGTTTTACAATAATGCAGTGCATTGTTGTGTCCTGATGTTATAAGTTTTTTTTCATATCCCAGCTTTCAGGAAGAAGATTGATATACTTATATGGTACAAAAGACAGAGCAATTTTGTGGCCTTTTTTATTAAATTAATTTTCTTTTCTTTTTTTAGTTTACTTATTTATTCAGTTTAATGTGTTACCTCAGAACCTTATACCAGCAAAAGACAAGGGATACTTAAACTCAGTGGATGGTTTATATTCCTAGTTCTGTCATGAAACTCTAGATGGAGCAGGCTGATGGGTCCTTAACGCAAGCTGATAATATTTACAGTGTTAACTACTAGCTAACAAGCTAAATGGTTCATGTTGCATCTACAGCCAATGAGCCTGCTGCTCAATATTTAAATGGCTGATTACCATTCACTATAGAAGTTTGCAGCACGGTTTCAGAGTTCATCTAAGGATAGGCCTACATTTACACGTGGCCGGCTATTTTCATAAACGGACATTTCACCCTCTCTGTTTTCAAAAATAACATCATGCACATGCACACCTGTCAGTTTTCAGAAAAGTGTTTGTTTACGCAAACCCGTGTGCCGCCAAGAGCATGCCAAACCTGTAGATGGCCCACGTTAGCCAATCAGAATCCCGAAAATAGCAACAACCGCAATGAATCACTTCCTCTTTCTCTTTGAACCATACGCCATGTGACGTCGGCTGCCTTTTCTCAGTTTACATGCAAACGTGTAAACAAAGTTTTCCAAAATCTCCACTCTGGCTGGAGTTTTTAGATATAATCGGTTTCAGAGGCGAATTCTCCATTTGCGTGTAAACGAAGGGCACAAACGAGGGGAAATGTCTCAGTTTTTCAAAATAACCATGTGTGTAAACGGCCCTAAAACACTCCACCTTCCTCAGCTCCACCTGTATCTGCTATGGGTAATTGATATATGCTATTTGTAATGCTGCGGTGTGTCTTGCATACACAGCAGCATATTGGAGTATGTATTGGCTGTAGCAAGTTCTTGTACTTGCTCTGCAGCAGCAATAATCTATAACAACAGCAATAATCAACAGCAGCAGTGTAGCAGATCTATTCCACCAAGACCAAATACATTAATATTGTCATATCCATTACCATGCTTAAAATCTCCAGAGAGTTGTCATGATGTCAATATATATATATTGACATCATGACAACTATATACATATATAGTTGAAAATATGTATATATATTTCTATATATATCCGTCTAAGGTTTTTCTTTAATATTAACATTTTTATCAGGCTCCTAGGTTTCTACAGTACTGACATTTCTGTATGGGCTGAGGCTGGGATTTAGTGAGTTTGAAGTGAAAGTATTTGATGAATGTATACTATGTGCGGAGAGCATTCACTCTATATTATTATCTCATTTTTTGACATAGGTGGCTTTTAGAGGCTTTTGCATCGGAGGTCTTCATATATATATATATATATATATATATATATACATATATATAGATCTGGGGTGCCCAATCCTGCTTCTTAATTACTGTTAATTTTACAAATGATGTTCAGAAGAGTACTGGAAATGTTTACTTAAATGTACACAACTTTTTTTTTTTGGTTCAAAATGTACAAAATTTATATAATGAGCGAGTACATTATGAATCCGCCCGTGTTTTTGTCTTATCCTGAATTACTACCATACACCTATAATAAGTGTTTATATTCAGACTATTTTAGTACGAGCGGGGCAACAACCGCTGTGGAGTATCCTGCATGACTCGTCATAGGCTGCATAAGCAAAGAGAAGTAGCTCCAGCTAGCTATAGGGATGTCCCGAGTCCATCTCAAGGATCTGTTTCGGGGCCGATTAAGCATTTTTTTCTTCTTTTTTTTTTTTTTACTGATTGGTATCGGCTATCCTTTTTAGGCCTAGGCCTACTTATAAAAGAGTAGGCAAAAAGTACCTGGATGACCTACTAAGATTCTGAAGTGTGCATACGATGGACACCATTATATGAGAACTGAACTGAGCTGGATGTTGACATCACGGTTTTCTCCAGAGCGGCTATATATATAAATGAACTAAATTAATAACTTGTTTACAACAAAATGAAACATCACTTAAGCAGGAATGTGACGCTATTTTCTTCTGTAAAGCTGTTTTGAAACAATCTGTATTGTAAAAAGCACTATATAAATAAATGTGACTTGACACTTTGACACTTGACACCTGAGACCACGGAAAAGGATTTATGAATGGCAGTTAAGTGATGCAACTGATGTTGTAGGTCACGTGATAATGACAACATGGAATGTAGTACATCCAGATTACATTCATAC